TGAACTGACCTCTTAAAGTATTTGCAGAGCAGGGTATATTATAGCACAGTTTGCAAACTATGGATATGTTAGCAATATGAGCATGTTACGTGTATGAAGGATGCAAGGTAATATCAGTTACTGATATGGTGCTTATTCAGCCACACACATATATGGACAGTTGACTTTGATGCCACAGAAACTCGATGGTACATTTTAGACCCATATAGTTGATGTAGACTCTGTCAGCTGTTGTCAGGAACAAATTGTGATAGTCATTATTAAGGCGTACGTCACGCTGGCAAGGTTTTCTTGGTACTAGTGGAAGAATTAATCCATAAATTGAGTGATTTTGGTTATATCTCTTGTGTAAGTGTTATTTAATGACAAGTTTTGTTTTCCTGTGTCTCCTGGTGATATGTACTATTTCATGTGTATTCATACATAAAGAATTTTATATGATTTAATTGTTTTAGTTGCTCATGGACCTTCATCAGCATTCTATGAAACTCGCTTTATGAAACTTTTGTCATGGGGCGTATTTACTGTACTGTACTAACATATTTGACACGCTAACAAATCTTGCAGTGTGATATTCCTACTGCAATTTACATGAGGCAACCATAAGCAGTTTTCTTTGTCCAAATTGCTATATTGCAACAGCTAGTCCAGACAAGAATAACAAAATTAAGTGTTTATTCTTTTACAAGACCTTATTCCTTATATGACTTTTCGTCTGAGAAGTTACCACAACAGAAAGACTATGAAACCATCCTAACACAACGTACATTTCTTACTCTTATTGTCTCATTGTTACATCAAGGAATCCTGTATGTATCCATATACTTCTCCATGAGTTTACAGTATTGGTATCCTATATTTGATTAACCTGTTATTCATTCTTGCATATTATACCTCCTTGTAGAATGTTCTGATTTTCAAGATGTCCAAAAATGTTATTTCCCCACTGCACCTCTGAGTCATATGTCCCTTAAACATTGTGTTGCTAAGGGCTATTTGGCCTTTGTCACCCACAGGCGCATAACAAAAATTTCTTCTTGTTAATTTGTGTTCCCTGATCACGGGAAACATAATAAAAAAAATCGTAAGTGGCATATTTTGGCAACAATAGGTTGGGGAAGTCTGGCAAAAAAAAAAAAAAAAAAAAAAAAAAAAAAAAAAAAAACGGTGGCGTTGACTTGGCAGGCGTCAGGGAAGTTCTTTACCCCAGCTGTCAAGCAGGGGTTGCAAAGATATAATTACCTAATTATTTCAATGTGTCCAATTCATTTTTTCTTCTTTTTTTTTTTGCTCTAATATTATTCAATATTGTGTAGTGTGACACATTTATACATTTATATAATAAAATGTGTGAATCATCGCTATACTCAAAATTATGGTGTGCATATTATTATGTTCATAAAAGTGAACAAATACTTTGTCGGTTAATGCACTATATACACAGGTTATATATAAGTATTTACATTTGTATTTCCCATAGCGAACCACTAATATTGTATGGTGACGGCAGACAGTAACAGGTGGCCACACAACTCATATACTCCCTCCCTCCATTCCATCGTCACTGGTTCAAGGCCAGACGCACTAACATTCCTCCTTCAAGTATACTGTTGTGGTCTTATTACCCTATATACACACGTTATATATAAGTATCTACATGTTTTGTTCATCATAACTGTTCAACTAGGGTGGTATAGTACCCAAAGAGCATAATAGCCACCCTTACCCAGCATGACAAGTTGCAGATGTCGCCACCTCCCTCACCAAAATGGCTTCTCTCAACACTCCTTTTGCTGTCATTACACTATATATACACGTTATATATATAAGTATCTACATTTGTGTTCACCATAAGGAATCACTAAGTTGGTATGCTGAGTCAAACAGCTACAAAGAGTGACCACCACACACCAGCTAGCCCACCACTGGCTGACACTCCCTCCCTCACCTCACCTGACTCGCCAACCTTCTCTTCCCACCATACTATTTTTTGCTTTTATTCACTATATACAGATTTTATATATATGTATCTGCATGTTTTGTTCACCATAGCGAATGACTAAGCTGGTATAGTGGAGTCCAGACAGTAAAAGGTAGTCACAGAGTCAGCAGATAACGCTACCTCCTTCCCCACCAAGATTACTCCTCCCACTACAGCGCTAATTATCACAACAATCCTGCTATTATCAGAATCCTGGACATTTTTATCACAGTCAGGGGTCTTCTGTAATACTATCATCGCAGCAAATGCTCTGGTTCCCATTGCACATGTGACTGTGTGTCAGATATACTCTGCTGCTTGAACTGTGTTGGTGCTCATGACATTACATTCCGACAATGTCCTTCGTACATTGCGGCACAAACTCAGGCTCTCCCCGCCATCAACCTGCAATACAGTTGTGCTCTGAACCGACGTAACTCTGTCCATCATCAACCTCTACATCACGCTTCGCCGCCCCCTTTGCTTGTACCTGATCTGTCTGTCACTGACATTCCTGTGGCCCTCGAGTCCCATCCTCTCCCACAAACTGTACTACCGAGTCCCAATCTTGTTGACACTTGTCACTCGCATTGCGTATGCACTCGAGAAGACGCTGAACCGCCTCCTGACTAAATTCTTTCCACAATCTGTCCGACCCATTTCTGAGGCTGACCCAATGCACCCCTACTCCACTTCTACAACATTCGCCCTCCCGCGGCTATCTTTGCTGTCTCCGAGACGTTTGAACTGATGCTTGAAACCGCCCTCCATAACATCTTGGCGTGTTTTTCCCGGGCTGACTTGCTGCAAACCCCGACCCCCGGCACTAAGAGGAAGCAATCCTCAGCTGTCCTTACTTCCAAGCGCCCTGCCACTTTGCCTGGCAGACCAAATCCATCTCGTACTCCCTAGACGCATCCTCACCTTACTCCAAGGTTTTCCTTGCGATGTCCAACTGGCGCATCTAAGAAGATCGATGCGAGTGCGTCCCAGACGTAAAGCTCCGGATTCCGTCCAAGTCTTCCCTGTCCTGACCTGACTTTCTTACCCTACGCTTTTTAGCCTGTGTTCCTTCGTGTGTTCACACTTCCTTTCCTTTCTCATATCTGATTAGCAACCGCCTCCTGTTTATCCTTCGCCTCCCTACCTCCGTCTCTTGCCTACATCCCACGTTTTCTATAGTTCGGTGACGCTTTGCTTTCACCTTTCATGTGACTTCTCATCTTTCCCATCCCAAGTTCCTTTCCTCTCGTTTGTTTATTTTGTAGGCACTCGTCCACATAGAAGTCATTGATGTCTTCCCACCTCTGCCAAATCTTGACCATTGATGCACCACTGTGCATGCCGCATCTTTCTACATTACCACTCGTGCAGTCATCGAGAGGAAGAACCTTCATGCAAACTGCACGTATTGCAAAGAAGAGGTAATTACATTAATAGCTGGATGAAAGAAATCAAATTAGTATTATCAATAGGGAAACTCTTAGCTTGCATGCAATGTGGCACATCCCATAATGGGTAGACCACAAGATGGCCGACTGGCGTCTCCCAAAGTTGTGTAAACTGAAACCGTCGCTCACTTCCTGCTGGCAAGTTTTATGTGTAACAATAGGAACAGAATTGTATATGATTCATTCACTGTCTATGCTGTAAGTTTGAGTTACTAATTTTTATTAAGCCTCATAACTGTTCTCTGTGATTCTCTATGTGGAGTAAGCATAACTGTCATGGCCAACATAATTACTACCTACTATTACAGAATCTCGTTCATCTTGTAATTTTGTGAGGCAGGGAAGACTGTAGTTTAGGTCTTGGAGGCACAGAATATCTGCAACAACAGTTCAACTGTATAAAGAGCAGCTTGTATGCATTCGACATGTGTACATCTGTGTGTGATGGTGTCTGAATCGTGAGTCCTTGATGCATTCCCTCTCATGTCAGAAACTATATTGTTTAATGATTATTGAAGGCGTCAAAAGTCTATTAGTTAAGGATATGACCTGTTAATACTTTGTTTATCTAGTTCATAAGAGTTTATTTGATTTACATTAAAGAATAGATTTAATATATTATCAAATTGATGTTGATGGCTTCTTTCACTGGTGTAATGTCATGAGCGTCTGTTTTGTCTCTCAGAGAGTATATTCAGGCCAGAGTGAGGGCAGCGGGTCATCAAGGTGTGTCCGCAGAAGCACACCATGATGCTAAAGTCCTTAAAAGTGACAATAACTTCTGTAAGCGTGGGATATATAATGCAACAGTTTGCTAAAATGTTACAATGGTACATTTGTAGCAGTATGTACATTCAGTATGACTAACAAGACTGTCACAGTCTTACAGTGTGCAATACTGTGTTGTGCTGGCAGTGTGAATCAATATGGCATGTGGCAATTCCGTTTACAATGTACAATAAGACTGGCGCCGTGTTCTACAGAATGATCACAAAAGTACATGTTGCTCTAACATTGTAACACCACATGTTGTTATAATGACTGGTAGAAAACTAACACTACATGCTGGTATAATGAATGGTACAGCACTGCAACACCGCAGGGATGTTAGATTTTCATTTTCATTTTCAGCATCTGGGTAGTTAATAAATGGAATGCATTAGGCAGTGATGTAGTGGAGGCTGACTCCACACACAGTTTCAAATGTAGATTTGTTAAGAGCCCAATAGGCCCAGGAGCTGTACACCAGTTGATTGACAGTTGAGAGGCGGGCTATAGAGCTGAAGTTCAACCCCCACAAGCACAACTAGGTGAGTACATGTTATAATGAATAGTACAACACTAACACCATGTGCTGATATACCGAATGGTACAAAACTAACATGCTGGTACAATGTAACATGTTATAATGAATGATACAATGTAACACCATGTTATAATGAATGGAACAATGTAATACCACATGCTGGTATAATGAATGGCACAACACTAACACGTCATAATGAATGGTAAAAAAACTGACTACAATAAGATTTTATCAAATGGTCAATAAATAATGAAACAAAATATAATGATATAACAATGTTTCAGCATCAATAATAAAGGTGTACAAAGTAGCAACAAATGTACAAAACTATTACATTGGGTACAAAACTTAAACTACTGTATGTGACAGATGAATAAAATATCCTCTGGCTGGATAGCTCATGTATATACATTAATAAACTGTGACTACAATAGATTTCATCAAATGGTCAATAAATAATGAAACAAAATATAATGATATAACAGTGTTTCAGAAAATGTTCATGTTGGATTATCAGTACACTGGTCCATCATCCGTCAGATATTGCGGAGAATAACACATTATCCAGACACTGATCATTCATCCGTCGGGTAATGTGGTCATGACACAACTGCTTTTCTCTCGGCCATAAGACTCTCTTCAAGTACTTTATGTTATTAATGCTCCTATTATAATCAGAAACTCAAAATATATACACAATGTTACCACATGTACACCAACCATGTAAGAAAAGTCTACGAAGAGACCATTTACACTAACCATTTAACATAACTACTGTACTCATCAATACAAACTGAACAATGAGACATTCTCGACAAATTATACCAAAAGTCTCAATAACATACACAAGGGCAAGTCACAGGCACTGAATAGCTGTGACTGAAATACTGCACATATGAACTTGCCTGTTACAGGCAGTTCATTACAGGCAGTTCTTGGGTGAGATGTGTAATGTCCAGATGATGTCTCTTGTGCAAGTCTCCGTGTGGCTGGAGTATGTTGTGGTGGTGTGTTTGGTTCTGTGGTACTCTTTTGTGTATGGTGGAGCTTTGTGGTACCATTGTATGGATGGAGCCTCATGGTACCACTGTATGTATGAGTGGAGCCTGTGGTGGTGCTCTATGCATGGCTAGTTGTTGTGGTACTATGATCTTTATAGCTGTAATCTCATTGATGAATGAAACTTTAAGGAACTTCTATAATTTGGGTAACTGTGTGCTTAATGGCTGGAGTCTAATTACACTTGATGCATTTCTGGAGACTGTCATTCCATTGTATGCATGGTTGGACACTGCAGTACCATTGTGTGCATGGCTGGACACTACGGTACCATTGTGTGCATCGCTGGACACTGTGGTACCATTGTGTGCATCGCTGGACACTGCGTTACCATTGTGTGCATGGCTGGAGTTTATGGAACCATTGTGTTTATGGTTGATGTCGAGAAAGGAGTCTGACCCGCTGTGGCCATTTTGGTCCCTACTGAGAGGATGGGCAGCAAGCGCTCTGTTGAGATCCCGAAGCATTTCTGGCGAGGGCTCGTCTATGTGGCACCCTTCCGGCCTCCTGCAACACATTTTATGTTATCTCGCTAGTAAGAGCTGGTAAGGTAATGGTTATAATTAAGTGTGATTGGTGATTATAACCAAATAGCTGATCATTAATTGGCTAATCTTAGAAACAAAGTTTGGAAGCTGACTAGAGCACGATTCCACAATGGTCACACTATTCACACCAAGGACATCAATCATCCACGACATGTGCATTTCTGTTAGCGGCCAATAATGAAAACACCTTGTCCTTAGGCACGTCAAGTTAACATTTATTCATTGTAAAAGTAACCTAAATGCAGCTGGAATCTAGAGATACCATTATTTTCATCAAATCGGTTGAAATTGAATAGAGATGTCACGAGGGTTACATCCAGATGCATGAGGACTTGATTGTGAGAAGTGTGATCTTCAGATTATGCAATATCAAAGTCATTGGTAGAGTTAAAATTACAGAAAGATATTGAGTGAACGTTGTATGTTGCATTGCAACAATAGAAACTCCAAATGCAAAATTCATTTAAAATTCCCCTGCTACCTAGCAGTAAATAGGTACCTGGGAGTGAGACAACTGCTACCTGGGGGTGGAGGCCTGGTCGAGGACCGGGCTGCAGGGACACTAAAGCCCCGAAATCATCTCAAGATAACCTCAAGATAAGTTTGAAAGAACAACAAAGGACTCTAGCCAACACTAAGTTTCTCACTCAACCATTGTAAGCCACTCATGTGTGAACACATCCAGGTCAAGTCACATATACTGTACAGCTAAACAGCCAAACCTGTGAGCCAAGCAGGTGTTGTTGAAATTGCTGACCACATGACCCAACCAGCATTCCCATGTACACCTCTAGTGCCACGCCGTGTGATTTGTCTACTAGGCTTTAGCGAACATGTTTGCTCGGTAACCCAATGAGTTACTGGCCATACCCAATAGTGTTTACGCAGTCGATTAAGTGACCCACATATCAAAGACGCCAGTATGTACTCATTGTGGTAGACTATATTTACCCATGTAAGGACAGAGTTAGACTCCTCAGGTGTTCTGGGAGACGGTACCTCGTGAAGGAAACAATGCCATCAAGCTCGGCTGTCTTGTCACTCACAACCGAGAATCTGAGAAACAGATAAACATTTATTATTTGAATAATACAGTACAAATATTCAGTGATAGTGAATTCGGAGTTTTCTTGTCTAAGATTATTAGGTTACCTCCTGGAATACACTTAATACTATCAAGCTCAGAGCACTACATATTTTCATCATTAAACTACATATGCCAGTCTTTGATCTGTTTTTATCTTCACCTGAATTTATTACACATCCTATTTTTTACCATCTCCAAATATGTGTGTTCAATACTGTCTAAATTGATTATATAATTCACTGTGTCAGGGGACAGGAAGCCAGAGTGTATTCATTGAAATTAGAAGTGTGTACCATAACCCCCCCAACCCCCTTCTGAGGGGGGTCATTCATTCATACTATTCATACACGTTAGGCTTTTATCAACTTTGCTCCATTTATGCCAATTCTTAGTTCTTTTTCAAGCATCCAATTTGGCAGGGAGAATTTCAAGCATCCAATTTTGGCAGGAAAGCGTGGCGAGGATTGTCTGTTTTATGCTGCTATGAACAAAGTATGATTATTAGAAAATTAATTATATTAATTTTCCCATGATCAGTGTATCATTTGATATACTAATACAGGAATTTTTTATTTTAATTTTAAAATAATTAGCTACACATAGCTCATAGGCAGTGGCAAGATCAGTTGTGAGGGTTAGTATGTGATCATAGCATGCTGCTCAGTCTTGAATTATTTGCAGCCCCAACCAGCCTATGTCCATCCTGTACCCCAGACCATTTTCCCAACAAAGTTGGACGAGGCTAGCTCTAAGCATTTGGCCTCCAACCTTGGACAGAAAGACAAACAGACATTACCTTTTATATGTATATAAACCAGGGAGGAGGGGCTCTTGCTCTTACTTGACTTGCTCCCCTCTCACTCTCTCTATCCTCACTGTCTTGCCATGTCCTTTCCCCTTTTCTTTCATCTCTCCAAATTTCTTCCCTTTTCATCTTTTGGCCCAACATCCAACCTCTCCTTCCCCTCCTTTCCCCGCTCATCCTGCCTGCCTCCTCTCTCTTCAAACATCCACCTTCTTTCCTAATCCTTGTCTCTTATTTGTCTATTTCTGTGTGTTTCTGCATTTGCCTCTGTGTGTTGTTGTCTGCATGTTTTTCTGTCTTCCTATCTCTCTTTGCCCTGGATGACCAGGTGTCTCTGCAGGCCTATCTTTTTTCAAGATCAGTGCATGATTTATCATATTTTTATGAAAAAATAATTAGTTCTTAAATTTTTATTGTTAAAATATTTAGCTAGGCATAGCTGATAGGCATACTTATACTGCATATGCATACTTATCGATATAAGTATGCAACTGTGGCATGCTGTTCCCTCTTGAATTCTAGTGATCCCAAATAACTCATGTCTGCTCTGTTCTACAGACCATGTACCTTGCAAATTTGGGCGAGGCTAGCTCCAAGCTTCTGGCCTCTAACCTTAGACAAAGACACAAACAAATGGACATGCTTGCTTATAGATATTGATAGATATTTAGATTGATAAGAGCTTCACTGACCCATGTCACTATGGGTCGCCCCATATGGCTGGGCACCTCCACACGCAGCACTCTATCTACACTCACTCTAGTTTACACTCACCTTACGTGGAATATTCTGGAGTAGTCGCCGGCGAGCTGAGGTCTGTCTTGTAGACGACGTAGCAGGAATGGGAAGAGGAAGCTGTCATGAGGGTCGGCGTCCTCGGGAAGGACTGCACTGCTAGGGTCCTCAGCTGGCAGAAGCATCCCTTCTGCTTGTCTCAGCTTCGCTCCTTCGCTCCCCACCACAATGATCTGCATGGATTGTGATCTCATTTGTAAAGATGTAGTTAAAATTGAGACATGATGACAAATGTAAGATTTTTAATATTATTAATTTAAGGTCAAATTATCTACGTGTATAGAGATATTTACTATGGTTTCAGTATGGATGCTTTACCTTGACTGTGGGATCAGCCAACAGTGTATCAATCCAGGAGGTGGGAGAGGTCAACAGGTGTTGGAGGTGGTCGTCGGGCAGGGAAGGAAGGTCCAGGTAGTCATACACCTGCACCATACATATATATATATAACTAACAATGTCTCACCATGAGAAAAATGAGACAGGAAATTCCTTAAGTACTTTCATATTAATACATCTTCAGAAGAAGGGATTTTACAAGTCAGTGGTGATATATAGGCAGGAAGGAAAATAATGAGGCGAGGTGAAAAACAATTTCCTTCTTGCCTATATATATTTCACTACCAACTTGTAAAATCCATCCTTCTGAAGGTGTATTAATACGAAAGTACTTAAGGAATTTCTTGTCTCAATTGCCTCGTGGTCAGACATTGTCTTATGTCTGTGTTAATTTCTTTGTGATTTACACACACATGACAGTATCAGACCACGAAGAAAGGATTGAAACAGGAATTTCCTTAAGTACTTTGGTATTTAATAATACATCTTCAGAAGATGTATTATTAAATACAAAAGTACTTAAGGAAATTCCTGTCAATCCTTCCTTCATGGTCTGACACTGTCAGATTAATCATCACATGTTAATTTCTTCATTACACATAGTCTGGAAGTCCTCCCCTACTCTTGACTGCATCATGTGTAACATGGTGCTCTTTATTTTTTTATTTTTTTTTTTTTTTGAGATATATACAAGAGTTGTTACATTCTTGTACAGCCACTAGTACGCGTAGCGTTTCAGGCAAGTCCTTAATCCTATGGTCCCTGGAATACGATCCCCTGCCGCGAAGAATCGTTTTTTCATCCAAGTACACATTTTACTGTTGCGTTAAACAGAGGCTACAGTTAAGGAATTGCGCCCAGTAAATCCTCCCCGGCCAGGATACGAACCCATGACATAGCGCTCGCGGAACGCCAGGCGAGTGTCTTACCACTACACCACGGAGACTTTTAGTAGATCAAGATATCCTCAAGTCTGTCACCCGTAATTACAACTATTTGAACTAAAGCAAGGAAGGTTTGAGAATACTGGTGTGGCCATTTCAATAAATCACTCAATATAGAAATTTGAGGCCTAAAGTTTTCTCTTAAATTAACAGTTGGTATTGGGAGATCTTGTTTAAAACCATAAGAACATTAAAATAAGACTGTAGTGTGCCAATTGGCCCACACGAAGTAGCTTCTATCTATACAGTATCTACGGAAACTCGTTCATATGTACATGTAACCTACGGTTGAAACAGTCAAGAAGTTCTACTATTATTATGCTATCCGGAAATTTGCATCTACAGTATTCTATAGAATGCTGACCAAGACACAACTGCATAACAAAAATGAACTAAACACGGTTGAGGATGATGACACAAACAACTATGCGAGACAAATAAATAACCCAACCCATTCATGAAAATAATAATAATAATGGAGAAGAAATGGAAGTGACGACATTTAGGCCCGTCCTGGACCCTTTTGAGGTCATTACTAGGGAACGTGGCAGAAAGAAATGCAAAAAAGATATAAAACTATATAACTAGATATAAAATTATATCAAAACTAGATATAAAACCCCTTTATTCCAATCTTGGGGAAAGCAAAGACCTGGATAAATACAGATTTGGAAACAGGGTTGTTACTTTTTTTTAACACATTACTGGGTACCATAACAGACAGATCACTTTATTGTTTCAAGCGGAGATAAGACATGAATAAGAATGAGTTTGATTGGGTATAAATAGAAGTTGTTTTTCACAGTTTCCTTAATTCTTATATTTAGAAGAGATATTGGCGCAAGCCATAAGAGCTCCCTGGGGCCTCGTACCTGGCACCGGCAGTAGGACTTTAGGATCTTCTTGAAGGCAGCAATGACGGGGACAAACTCTGCCCCGAGGGGCCCGTAGGGCGTCCACACCAGCAACACCTTCACCTGACGGTCGCCCAGCCTCGGCAGCTGTCTCACTGCCAATGTGGAAATACACTGTTAATGGTTTTTAATATACACTTGTGGGGTTGCATCCTGGGCAGGGTCAGTAATTCAGTCATGGGGATGGGGGGGGGGGGCTCAATAAAAGCCAAACGTGTATGAACACACTCTGGCCTCCTGTCCCCTGACTCAATGAATTATAATTACAGTACTGTAACTTACTCCCTCGATGTTGTTTCTGGGAACAAACCTTGCATTAAAGTCTAAAGCCAATAACATATACAGTATGATCACATTTAAGGATTTCTTATCTGATAAATCAAACTTATGCATAAATATACTTTTTAGTGCTCATTATAATGAATGAGAAACATTCTTTTCATTTTACCTATGGTGTAGATGTTAAACTCTCGGATAACTTGACACCGAGAGAGAACACAGCAGGCGACGACAATACCGGCCAGCATGACGACCACAGCCGCCCCCACCACCACGGGCACCACGCTGGGCGCGCTCTCCTCCTCCACTGCTTCCTCCAGATCTGTGGCAGGCATACTGACACCTTTAACACCTCGTGTCTTACATGTGGCAGGCATACGGGGACAACACCTTTTATCTTACATGTGCCAGGCATACTGAGACCTTTAACACCTCGTGTCTTACATGTGGCAGGCATACTGACACCATTAACACCTGTCTTAAATGTGGGAGGCATCTTAACACTATTAACATTATCAAGGTAATGTAGAACAATGGGGGGTTCCACGCCGCTGGCCCTCGCGGGATGGGGGGTGCTCCGCCGGAACCCCCAAAGTGATAAGCCTGCAGATAGCTAAGAAATATTCCCATGAATTGTAGTGTAATTAAATTAATGCAACTTTCATTTACTACCTATGGATGTAGTTATTAATTGTAATTGATTTCTACTTTATCATTAAGGATTATTCATTATAATTATTCCTTAATACTTTATTGTTATGCACTAGTCAATAATTATTTATCATTCATCCTAATTAGCTATTTGATTCATTAAAAATAATTGCTTATCATTATACTATTTGTTATTATTATTATTTATTATATAATAATAATTAATTTAATATTTATTAATTTATTATATATTAATTTATTATTTACCATTATAAAATAAACAAGTCCCCAATCTGAGCACGTTTTCTTCCAACCTCAGAAAATGAACATTATCAGATTGGTGCAGAATAACGTGCATAATCTGAGTAATGTTACATTCTTGTACAGCCACTAGTACGCGTAGCGTTTCGGGCAATTAGAACAATGTGCATTATCATGTGTACTATAGTGCACTATAGTACACTATAGTACACTATAGTACACTATAGTGCACTATAGTACACTATAGTGCATTATAGTACACTATAGTGCACTATAGTACACTATAGTGCACTATAGTACACTATAGTACACTATAGTGCACTATAGTACACTATAGTACACTATAGTACAGATGGTACTATAGCTGGTTTGCATATTGCATATTTGCATTGATAACTGGTTTTGCATATGGGAGTGTACTATAGTACAACATACATTGTAATGTGACATGCAAGCACATGTACCTTCATTATGTTTCTGTCTACAATTGTATTTGCATATATGTACAACATAACATTGCAAGGAATAACAGTTTGAACATCATGCAAACGGTAAGTATATTTTTTTGTGTTACAGCTAGTAAGATTCTAGACCCAATTTGTGAAATGAGCCGAACAGATACAAGTTTTAATTTGACTTTAATACACAAGAAATTAAGTTGAGGTTAATATAATACACATTTTCAGTTGATGCTTACCCAAGAGCTGCCTGGTGTGGCTGGAGAGTGGAGTACAGCCATCAATGTCGCAGCGGTCATCAATGGGCATGACCCTGGCACAGTAGTAGCCACTGGTGAGGTTGTGGAAGGTGTGGTCAGGCTGTTGGGGCATACACACAGTATTATGACAACTCTGTCATTACAGGTGGTCTTAGCACTCATCAACGTGTTAATAAGATTCTGTCAAAAAGGATGTAAGTAATTATCAAAAGAAGGCACCAAACCGGAAAGGCTATGTAGCACCACCAAATGTGCGGAGTAATCAGAGGGCGCTAAATATCACCAAGGATGCCAATACGAGAACAGAAACGCATGAGGTGAACGATATCAAAAGTATCCGATTCACCAAGGATTCTATCGAGGGACAAGTGACCGCGAGGGACGGTCGGAAAGCAAGACACGCGCTCGTCCTGGAAGTCAGGACATTCAACAAGAATGTGTCTGGCCGTAAGAGGAACAATGCAATTTGGACAATAAGGAGCAAGGCGGCGCTCCATTAAGTGACCGTGAATTAAACGTGTATGGCCAATATGTAACCTAGCCAGAGCCGTTTCCCACTGCCAGTTACGGTGGTAGGAGGAAGGCCACAGGGACACACGACTCTTAAGAGTACGCAGTTTGTTACCAGTAACAGAAGAACCATAACCCTGCCAACGGACACGGATGGTGGAATAAATAACTGGGTAAAAGTCGGAATAAGGAATACCTTTATGGTAGATGGGACAAGTGCGGATAGCTTCCTTAGCGGCAGCATCCACACACATTTAAAGAGACACCAACATTGCTGGGAACCCAGCAAAACTCTACCGACTTAAATTTACTGGAGATAAGAAACAGCCTATGCTGAATATCGATGACCACCGGGTGGACCGGATTAAAGGACCCTAAAGCCATGAGGGCACTACGCGAGTCAACTATCACCACAAAGGAGGATTGACAACGAGAAAGCAGGAGACGAAGTGCATAGAGAATAGCATAAAGTTCTGCTGTGAAGATGCTAGCCTCTGGAGGAAGGCGACACATATAAGTGTGGTCAGGAAAAACAACAGAGTAGCCCACACCGTCCGCAGACTTAGACCCATCGGTGAAGATGGAAACGGTGTGGGAGTGCGATGAAAAGTGCTCAAGGAAAAGGCGTTTCCGAACTGTAGGAGGGGTAAAAGCTTTTGTGATGCGTGTCAATGAAGTACAAAATTTGGGAAGGGGGACCCTCCAAAAAGGATGTGTCGTCAAGATCGCATGAACAAGGCCATGACTGTATAAACGAGGTAGTGTCAACGAACAAAGATTAGTGTGTCAACAAAGACAGTGTCAAGTGTTATAACCAGAGTGATCTTGGAAGTGAAACAGGATATGTTGCAAGCAGATAAAGTGAATACAGGCAGTTTATCCTGCATTGCTGCCAGGCATATATAAGTAATTATATATGCTCATTTATTATCATTTATTTATAAATGTATTATATCATTTAAGCTCCTGGCTAGTTTTAAGATAATGTGTAAATTAAGGAAATCTATCCTTTAACTCTTGTTCAGAGCTTTTATATTATTGCCATTACTGGGTAATTGGGTGTGCCTTATGAACATGTATTTGAATGTCCAGGTACTGTATAACACATTTTCTTATATTTGAATATTGATTTTATCTGCACAATTATATTTTCCTTTTATTTTTTCTTGGTCATACATTGGGTCTAAACCTATTAAAATATACAAATCTTATCAAACAGAGGTCTATCAAACCTCATGAAACCCAACACAAACTTTCAAAACCACCGAAATTGCAACAGAACCCTCAAATAATATTCTAATATATACCTAAATAATATACCAGTACAGTATACCTAAATTCAAGAAAATCTTAAAAAGCCTAAAATCGTCCAAAATTCAAATCGGGTAAATCAAAGGTAATCAAAAACTAAATCAAAATCAGTTAAATTCAAGGAAAATCTGCAAAGCCTACCAAAATGACGCCAAACTAGCAAATTGCACTAAAATCTCAACCTACTATGTCCATCAGATGTCTTAAGCCCTGTAAGGCCTCCTTAAACATTTTAACGCCTATCAATTCCCACCAGTGTTCGTCTGTATGCAATGCAACTTAGTGAAGCCTAGCAAAATACATTTAATGCCGTCGTAAGAAAACATACTTGAGTGAGTTTTGTTTGATATAAATAGGATATAACTTCGCTGAAGTCGATAGACCTTTTGCCATTTCCTCTGCTCATGTGATCTAAACTTACTAAGACCTGTCAGAGCTTACAGTATACCACCAAAACTTTCCTTAACAGTAACACCAAAACCCGATCAAATTACCCGATACACACACTCATGGCGACACTGCCAATTTGACACTGTCTTAACCTATAGCTATATTGATATTACAGTTTTATAAAACAAATAAAACAAAACTAAAATATGTCAATCAATTGTAAAGTAGCTCGGGATATTTTCAAATTTTGTATAAAATCTCTATTTAATAAAACTGAAAAAGAAATTCCTGATATTTAAAACTTGTCTTTAACGAATTAAATTTTAAAACTTTATCCTAAAATTCTGAATATCTTAACAGAAAACGAGGAGAATAAATGGGGAGGTAAATGTACCAGCCCCATATGTGCAATTATGTACTATGAATGACAGTCAGGAAATGTACTTATTACACTTGGTATTAAAACGTACTGTCAATTCGAAGGATGGGTTGCAGCCTACATGTTAGGCTTTCATCGAGGTCGCCCCCCCACCCCCCCAGGGTCGAAATACTGACCCCGCCCAGGATGCAGCCCCATAGCAAACTGACTAACTCCTGGGTACCTACTTACTGCTAGGTGAACAGAAGCATTAGGTGATAGGAAATGTGCCCAACCATATCTGTCCCGCCTGGGATCATGGTAGAGTGCACTTTATAGCCATGCCTTTTGGCCGAGATATTCAACGTCTGTTCACTTTCGTATATAGTTTTCTATCATGAGAGTACACAATCTTTCTTATGATTTTGGATATTTGAAATAATAACAGGCAAACAGAGCTGATGTAGCAGAATCAAAGTTGATAACGTAGACCTAACGTTGATCAAACGTTGACCAAACGTTGATAACGCTGACCGAACGTTCATAGCTTTGCTCTAACGTTTATCCAGTGTTGACAACATTGATAACTATGATCTAACTTTGATAATATTGATTAAACATCATTCGGGCCTATGTCTCGTGATGGGATAACGAAATAAACGTTCTGGTAGGTGGTGTTATCTGGTGGCGCCAGCTCCAACTACTGCCCCTCATGCTCAACCAACCGACCCTTCTCACCAGTATATTTAAAAATATTATCATTTATATTTATACCATTCGACTTTCTGTACAATTTACATAAATATGGAAATAAGCATGGAAATAGATTTTGGTATGCAATTTATATAAGGTTTAAATAAAACTATTTTGTGCTGAAACTTACATCAATAAAACTTAAGTTTCATTTAAACCTTATATAAATTGCATACCAAAATTGATTTCCATGCTTTATCACGTTCTTACAGCAATATTAAGTTATTAATATTAAAGTGTTTTTTGGTCATAGTGTACTTATATACATTTGGACATTTTTACTCACGCTGGATATTATTAATTCCTTGTTCCTTGGAATAAGGGTGATATTGTTGTCAATGTTGTTGCCTACACAAGTGATCTTGTGGCGGCGGTTGTACCACAGCTCCAGCTTGTAGTGGGAGAAGTTGTACGGCTGCTTCTCCGTCCACCGCACTGACAAACTCCGGCTGATCAATGCAACATTAACTTGTTACAGTAATAACACTAGAAAAATGCACCAATATAATAAATTAAGTCCTTTCAATGGAAGGCAAATGGTAACGGAATAAAATATAAATACATAAAACATTAGACAAAATAAAACACTAGGCTAAAAGTGTTTTAATTAAGTGCTGTAAACACAAACAAGTGCTAGGCTGCTGCACTTGTTTGTGCAATGTATCATTTCAATACATTCATTTGAAGGGTTAACAGAAGACAATCACTAGGTTACAGGTGTTTAGTGCTCTCATCAGAGACAAGTGCTAAGCTACAAGTGTTTTTTTTTAAAACACACACACACACACACACACACACGTCACGCGCTGGGGTCACGACGGTCCTCAGGTCGACTCCATGCAACTTAGCAATCTTCCTTTCACATCTTAAGAGGCACATCAACAAACTGGAAAAGGTGCAAAGACACGCTACTAAGTGGCTCCCAGAACTGAAGGGCAAGAGCTACGAGGAAAGGTTAGAGGCATTAAATATGCCAAAACTAGAAGACAAAAGAAAAAGGGGTGATATGATCACTACGTACAAAATAGTAACAGGAATTGATAAAATTGATTGGAAAGATTTCCCGAGACCTGGAACTTCAGGAACAAGAGGGCATAGATTTAAACTAACTAAACACAGATGCCGAATAAATATAAGAAAATTCACTTTCGCAGAGTGGTAGACGGTTGGAACAAGTTAAGTGAGAAGGTGGTGGAGGCCAAGACCGTCAGTAGTTTCAAAGCGTTATATGACAGAGTGCTGGGAAGACGGGACACCACGAGCGTAGCTCTCATCCTGTAACTACACTTAGGTAATTACACACACACACACACACACCATAGATCACACACCGTTACATCTACAGCATACGCAAAGCTGGCTAACCTTCAAGAACCTGTGTAAGGAATCAGTCAGAACCTTGTATACCATATATGAAAGATCAATCCTGGAGTATGCGGCCCCAGCATGAAGCCCGTATCTTGTCAAGCACAAGACGAAGCTGGAAAAAGTTCAGAGGTATGCCACTAGGCTAGTTCCAGAACTAAGAGGCATGAGTTACGAGGAAAGGCTGCGGGAAATGCATTTCATGACACTGGAAGACAAGATAAAGGGGAGACATGATCACTACCTACAAAATTCTTAGAGGAATTGACACGGTAGATAAAGATTAAACTGTTTTACAGGGATAGTATGCAAACAAGGGGACACAGGTGGAACCTGATGAACTACAGGGGACATTAGAAAATTGTTTCAGTGTCAGAGTAGTTAACAGATGGAATATGCATTAGGCAGTGATGTGGTGGAGGCTGACTCCATACACAGTTTCAAATGTAGATATGATAAGAGCCCAGTAAGCTCAGGACCAGTTCTGAGCTTAAATCTGTACACCAGTTGACTGACAGTTGAGAGGTGGGGCCAAAGAGCTAGAGCTCAACTATGGGAGTACATGCACGAGGGATGAAGGGTGCAGGCACCACTCCTCTACTGCACATATCATCGCCAAAACGCCTGTACGGTTACGTAAACCATATTCCAACAATGATATGTATTAGGAATTTACACACTAATTACTTGATGTATTATATTAAGTACACTCTATTACTACATGCAGTATAATTCTTACAGGTAACATTGAGAGTGCCAGTTGTTACAGGTAACATTGAGAGTGCCAGTTGTTACAGGTAACAGTGAGAGTGTCAGTTCGTCTAGGTAAGAGTGTGAATGTCAGTTCGTCTACGTAAGAGTGAGAGTGCCAGTTCGTCTAGGTAAGAGTGAGAGTGCCAGTTTGTTAAGGTGAGAGTGTGAGTGCCAGTTTGTCTACGTAAGAGTGAGAGTGCCAGTTCGTCTAGGTAAGAGTGAGAGTGTCAGTTCGTCTAGGTAAGAGTGAGAGTGTCAGTTCGTCTAGGTAAGAGTGAGAGTGCCAGTTTGTTAAGGTGAGAGTGTGAGTGCCAGTTTGTCTACGTAAGAGTGAGAGTGCCAGTTCGTCAAAATGAACAAGATTGCCAACTAGACCACAAGCAGGTCATAGACTCACTACTCAGCCCTGGGCTCCAAGTAGAAGGTAGTGTTCCACTTGTTCATGTCGGTGATGTTGACGGCCGGCTGGAGCCAGATGGCCTCAGGTCCAAACGGCAAGGGGTACACCAGGGGAATGATCTCATATCGGTAGCAGCCGGTGCCTACGTTGTGGTAGTGGGTGGGGCTCTGTGGGAATGATTGCGGAAGTCAAACACATGTATTGTGATAGTGTGGGGCTCTAGCATTCATGGGCTTCTTGGCTGTGACCAACTGACCTAACAACCCCGGGCTTTCTGGCTGTGACCAACTGACCTAACAACCCCGGGCTTTCTGGCTGTGACCAACTGACCTAACATCCCCGGGCTTCCTGGCTGTGACCAACTGACCTAACAACCCTGGGCTTTCTGGTTGTGACCAACTGACCTAACAACCCTGGGCTTTCTGGTTGTGACCAACTGACCTAACAACCCCGGGCTTTCTGGTTGTGACCAACTGACCTAACATCCCCGGGCTTTCTGGCTGTGACCAACTGACCTAACAACCCCGGGCTTTCTGGCTGTGACCAACTGACCTAACATCCCCGGGCTTCCTGGCTGTGACCAACTGACCTAACATCCCCGGGCTTCCTGGCTGTGACCAACTGACCTAACATCCCCGGGCTTCCTGGCTGTGACCAACTGACCTAACAATCCCGGGCTTCCTGGCTGTGACCAACTGACCTAACAACCCTGGGCTTTCTGGTTGTGACCAACTGACCTAACATCCCCGGGCTTCCTGGCTGTGACCAACTGACCTAACATCCCCGGGCTTCCTGGCTGTGACCAACTGACCTAACAATCCCGGGCTTCCTGGCTGTGACCAACTGACCTAACAACCCTGGGCTTTCTGGTTGTGACCAACTGACCTAACATCCCCGGGCTTCCTGGCTGTGACCAACTGACCTAACATCCCCGGGCTTCCTGGCTGTGACCAACTGACCTAACAACCCCGGGCTTTCTGGTTGTGACCAACTGACCTCGCTAACATTCCTGGGCTCCCTGGCTGTGATGGGGAAGAGGTTCTTGCTGTGCATGTGATGAGTGTCGAGAGCCGCACATTGGCCTGCAGTGCCGATGCTCGGGATCTTCAACAGCTTGATCTTCACATCTGCCAGTAGGAAAATATTGTCAGTGGCAAGATATGCTAATATTAACAGTAAATAGTTTAAATAATTTCAACACACGAAGGAAGGAGGAATTAGAGAAGATGTGGAAGAGTTGGAGGAGCAAGACAGTTGTAATTAGTCCATGGTAGTATGTTTTGTTATCAACCTGTGGTTAGTATGCAGAATAATGCTCCTGCAAACTTGTCTGGTGATTGCACATGGTATACCTGGAGTGGGTTCTGGGAGTTCTTCTACTTTCCAAGCCTGACTGGAGTTTAGGCCCGTCTAGTGATAACTAAATCTAGAAGGCTGTTGCTTGAAGCGGCTCGCATGCCCACAACCGTTATAAACCCCCGACTGGTCTAGCATTTCCTACGGGAATTTATCTAATTGTCTTTTGAACATGTCCACGTTTGTTCCTGAAATACTGCTTATATTTGTTGGGAGGATATTGAAGAGCCGTAGACCTCTAAAGTTCAGGCAATTTTCTCCAATTGTGCCTATGGCCACTTTTCACCGGGTCTATTCTGCATTTCCTATCATATCTTTCTCACCAGTACGTTGTTATCTGGTTGTGCATATTATCCACTATCTTCCATGTATACAATACTAGGGAGGTACCCAGTGTTACCAGAGCCTCTGTCTCTCATCTATCTATTTTTCCATCAATCTATTTATCTATGCCTTTCATCTATCTCTCCCTCAATCCATCTGTATCTGTCTACCTATTTATTTATTTATATCCATCCATGCATCTACCTTCCCACCCACCCATCCATCTATCTATCCATCTATATATTCATCTGTCTATTCATCTCTTCGTCTCCCCTCTTCCCCCTTCTCCCAGAAAATATATTAAGAACCTCTGAAATAACTGCATGGTTCTAAACATAATTATAACAACATGACAAAGACTCCACGTTAATCACAAGCCATGTTTGACATTTGATGCCGCGACAGACTCCCTGAAAATGGTATATAGGCGTGTTTATAATTGCTGATATTTCTTGAAGCCTTTAACATAGCCAACCCCGACCGGCTTATGCGCATCCTGTATTCTAGACCATTATTCCTCATGCAAATTTGGGAAAGGCTAGCCCCAAGTGTTTCGTTATGCACCGGGATCAGTCCAGCGTGAAGTACCCAGGACGCCAAGATAGCATCTTCTTGAGAGGTTATCTTGAGATGATTTCGGGGCTTCAGTGTCCCCGCGGCCCGGTCCTCGACCAGGCCTCCACCCGCAGGAAGCAGCCCGTGACAGCTGACTAACACCCAGGTACCTATTTGACTGCTAGGTAACAGGGGCATAGGGTGAAAGAAACTCTGCCCATTGTTTCTCGCCGGCGCCTGGGATCGAACCACAGGATCACAAGTCCAGCGTGCTGTCCGCTCGGCCGACCGGCTCCCGCATAAGGAACAATTTTGTGTATCTTCCGGGGGAAGATTTTTGAGGATATATCCAAGTCAGTACCACACCAGAGGCAAGATCTGTGACTGTAAGATCTAGGTATAAATTGAAGGAAGCTGGTAGGTGTGTGAGAGGAGGGAATTATCAGAGGACTGATTGATGAAGATTAAGCCACCCAAAAAGTGGCACGGGCATGAATAGCCCGTAAGTGGTGGCCCTTTGAAGCCATTACCAGTATCATTAGCTGATACTGGAGATCTGTGGAGGTGCGACTACACCCTACGGAGAGGTCGTGACCTCTCATTATCAGAGGAAAGCGCCAAAGCCTTTATAGCATCTGGAAGGGATCAGGATAAGGATTTGGGATGGGACAGGGGAAAGGAATGGTGCCCCAACCACTTGGATAGTCGGAGACTGAACGCCGACCTGCATGAAGAGAGACCGTCGTTCTACCGTCCAGCCCAAGTGCAACAAATGCAACAAAGGTGATGGTTGCTCCACAGCCAGTCTACCAGCTCCAACACTCAGTTGCAGTTAGTGGAAGATGGGCAAGAGCCCAATGCAAGCTAGTGAAAAATCCCTGCTAAATTAGTAAATAAATTAGTACATGTACATCTGTACATCTGATGATGTACAGATTTTAATTCAAGTGAAGGTTACTAAAGTGTAGTGGTAGCAGTGATGATCTAGTGCTCCCAGCAGTGATTGTATCTCCAGTGACACTGGCAGTGTACAATTAGCAGTGAAGGAGTATGCTCCAGAGAGTTCTGTTAACCGAGGTGGACATTGCATATATTATACACATTAACCTACAGAGTAGTGCCAATAAGCTCTTGTGAAGAGAGCCTGAGAGTCGTGTGGCATCACCACTCCCTACGGTGTCCGGCAGTGGCAGTATAATTTAGGTCGCTGCCCTCTGAACAAAGGCAGTGAACATCTGGCAGTTGCCGCTGCACCTGGCTACCCAAGAAGCGTGCTGCGTCGCGGACCACTGAATAGGTAGGTAGAGGGACGACGAACACGGAGGACAATAGGGAAGAGTAGGTCGCACGACGGCCGGATCCTGTTGTACCAACTACAACACGGTAAGTGAGAGTGACGAGTCGTGCATGACCGTTGTGTACTCCCCATTTAAATTAGGAGGTGGACTAAACCCTCCTTACCCATTGAGTTAGTGAGCAACAGTAGAGTAAGGGGTACCAAGGGACACTGAACACACGCCTGTCACATAAAAAGTTATTTCTGATGTACAGTATATTAACTTTTAATAAGATGGCTTAGAGTAGATGAAATACCGAGACTAACAGGTTCAGTAATGTATCACATTGGCTGTCATGTTTACAAGTTGGAAAGATGGGGCTGAGGGGGCTGATGCTCTGTCCTGAAAGCATGTGGAGGTAACCAATACATATACATACACACACCCACTGCTTCGGCTTGATACCTGGTTGATGGGGTTCTGGGAGTTGTTCTACTCCCCAAGCCCGGCCCGAGGCCAGGCTTGACATGTGAGAGTTTGGTCCACCAGGATGTTGCTTGGAGCGGCCCGCAGGCCCACATACTCACCACAGCTCGGTTGGTCCGGCACTTTTTTTTTAGAAAACAGTCTAGTTTTCTCTTGAAGATGTCCACGGTTGTTCCGGCAATGTTTCTTATAGTTGCTGGTAGGACGTTGAACAACCGCGGACCTCTGATGTTTATACAGTGTTCTCCGATTGTGCCTATGGCACATTTGCTCTTCACTGGTTCTATTCTGCATTTTCTTCCATATCGTTCAAGGGACACATCAGGCTTGTATTGATCAGTGCAGCAGACATACCTTAACAGATGTGGTCATCACTACACAAGCCAGGAGCAGTGCAGCAGACATGTAACAGATGTGGTGATCACTACACAAGCCAGGAGCAGTGCAGCAGACATGTAACAGATGTGGTGATCACTACACAAACCAGGAGCAGTGCAGCAGACATACCATAACAGATGTGGCCACAGGAGGCGTTGACAGTGTAGGAAAGCTGCAAGAGGCCGGAGTCGTTGTAGTAGGTGAAGGAGTGGGTGTAGCAGTCGTAGCAGCAGCGGCAAGAGGCCGAGGGCGTGTCTTCGGCAGCCTCCAGCACCAGGTCCGTCCCCCCCACACGTCTCTTGCGGCTCTTCCCCGCCTCCCACGGGAAGCCTCTTGGGGCCACCGTTGGCAACACCGCTCCACCTGCTGCACCAGTAATTTTGTCTTCTTTTTATTTGTAAAACAAAGGTAAATACAACATAAAAGGCACCGAAGCACCAAATAAACCGAACATAAGTTCCACCCAAACACATCAACGAACATCGCAATACAGAAACGGAACACAGAAACATAGAGTACACAGTTAGAGTACACATAGTGTACTCTAGCATACTAGCGTACTGTAGCATAGTTAGAGTTAGAAACATAGAGTACACATAGAGTTACACAGAGTAACATAGTACAGAGTAACATAGTATAACAATGAACACAGAAAACATGGCACACACAGCAATAGAACACAAATGGGAAAGGACAACCAGAACTATAATAATTATAAATAAATAAATAAATGTTTATTTAGGTAAGGTACATACATAAAGAGATTTTACAAAGTTTGTTGGATTAATATATAGAGCTAGTACATACAATGCCTAAAGCCACTATTACGCAAAGCGTTTCGGGCAGTTACACAAGAAATTTTACACAGGCAATTCCACAAGAAACACAAGAATACCCGCACCACCCAGACGGGGCGTAGCAACAGACCACACAAAAGAAAGCACCCAACACCAGGCACCGAAAAAGGAAAGTCAGTGATTACAAAAGCTTACAAAGTAAAAAAAAAAAACACGTAACAATCTTCACACAAACACCAAATGCCATACCACATAAAACAGAACACACAGAGGAGCAGACAAAAATAACAGAACACAGAAACACTGTGCACATAGCAATACAACACCAAATTTGAAATTATAACTAAAGACCTAATATATAACATAGTAATGTATAACATACAAACTTATAACAAAGTATACACCATCAAATATAACCGCACTACCCACGCGAGGCGTGTCAACAGGTCACCGGAATTAAAGTACACAATACCAAGGCATTAATACAGTGAGTACAAAAAAGTACAAAGTAAGAAACACAGGTAACCAATCACCGGAAACATCGAACAGGCATACACAGCCTCCACACAAAAGGTAACACGCACACAACACACCATACAATACAGCCACACACCATACAATACAGCCACACAGCACACAAACCCGACCTCAACAAACGGGTGACGGGATAAACGCCAACAGAGAAAACCCACCACACACACCTGACCACACACACACACACACACACCCCTGAGTAACAAGAAAGATACACACACACACCACACAGCCGCGCAAGCACATTTAAATCATCAACATGCACCACACAATTAATTGAAGAGCCGCACAGATCTGTGTGGGTTTGGGGGTTGTGTGCAGGTGCGTGTGTGAAGTTTTGGGGGGTTTTGTGTGTGTTGGGTTGTGTGGCGGGTGTTGGGGCGTGTGGCGGGTGTTTAATTGTGTGGTGCATGTTTATGATTTAAATGTGCTAGCGCGGCTGTGTGGTGTGTATGGAACTTTCTTGTTGCTCAGGTGTGTGTGTGTGGTGTGTCCCCCCCAAACACCCACCCACCAGAGGAAACACACAAAAAAACACGCACCCACCACCTACACCAAAGCAGCACCCCTGACATACTCCTCTGTAAACCAAGCCCCAAAAACCCTAGGAAAAGATCTCTGCAACCACCACATAGTATAAGACAGATGTCCCTTCAAAAAAACTTAAAACCCTCCCCACCCCATACCTCTCCAACCAATCAACCCGTAAGTAAAAAATATAGTCCGCCAACAACACAAAGAGCGTGTTTTGCACCCGCCTGGAACTCCGAGGAAAAAAAAAACAGAAAACGTAACACATCAACCCGCACCCCTGGACCACAAAAGGCTTCATCGATATCCCACAACCAATCTTCCAAACCTTGAACCCGCTCACAAAAATAAAAGACGTGCAACTGAGTTTCACGCTCCCTACAATGAACACAACAGTCGAAGGCGACCACACCCAACAGGAAAAAAAAAACTCGCATTCGTGGCCAAAGACTCATCCAAATTTCGAAACATCAACTCACACGTCCACGGCGCAATACACGGCCTACGCAACGTCGCCCACACATTCTTCCCAATCAAAACAAGGGTACAAACCCTCGACTCAGGAAGCCACCTGAGGCGAGTGCCCCATACACTTCCCTACAATGAAACGACCTAAACCCTGGGAACCGACATAGCGCCCGCAGAATCACCACCGCCCACGAGTACACCGGCAGTGTAAACAGGACCCCCTCCCGACAACTCCCTAAGTCAAACAAATAACTAAACCTCATAGAGCAATAGAACAACCCCAGAGAGTTTAACCCACCCCCTAACACCAGTCCTCCTATGAACTGACCCCAAAACAAAGCCAATGACTTCATATAAACGTCAGGAATACCAATCCCACCCTCAGGGATGGGACTGAGCCCAGAAAACAAGACTTCCCACAATTAACCAGAGCCCCCCCCCCCCCCCCTGTGGCCGACTCAAACCGAAGTACCAGATCCTGAACCACAGTCACAGAACCCTCGGAAGCAACAACCAAGACGGTGTCGTCTGCGTAACCACAAACCTTGATGGTCAAACCATTCGGCAAAGGCAGCGAGACAACTACACTACAAGCATGCGCTGCTCAAACAAAAGGCTCCTGAAACAGAATATAGAGAAGCATCGACAGAGGACACCCCTGCCGAATCGAATGCTTAACAGCAAAAGGAGCACTAATGACCCATTAATACACACCTGACTACAACAACCAACGTACAACATCCTAATCCATCCCACAACCTGGGGCGGGAAACCAAACCGCTCCAGGACCTGCAACACAAACCCAAATGGCACTCTATCAAAAGCCTTGACAATGATCACCAAGCTGATCATGGCCGCAGGAACACCAGACTCCTCCACATAGAGGAGCACATTCCGGGAAAGGGAATTGCACTGCAACAAAGACCGACCCAGGATCCCACAAAACTGACCCCACCAACAACTTAGAAATAATCTTGTAGTCCACATTAAGCTATGTAATAGGCCGCCAATTTGCATAAAACGCAAATCCCCTGGCATCGGGAGAAGCCGCACAAGACCATCATTATGCGAATCAGACAGCATAAATTGCATTAGACAAAAATCGCCACCAAGCACATCCCAAAACATAGAATATTTTGGGATGTGCTTGTGCTTGATTTGGGAACATAGAACTCGACATAGGCTATTTAACACAAGGGGCACACGCACTAGGGGACACAGGTGGAAACCGAGCGCCCAAATGAGCCACAGAGATATTAGAAAGACCTTTTTTAGTGTCAGAGTGGTTGACAAATGGAATGCATTAGGAAGTGATGTGGTGGAGGCTGACTCCATACACAGTTTCAAGTGTAGAGATGATAGAGCCCAGTAGGCTCAGGAATCTGTACACCTGTTGATTGACGGTTGAGAGGCGGGACCAAAGAGCCAGAGCTCAACCCCCGCAAGCACAATTAGGTGAGTACACACACATACACAACACACACACACACACACACACACACACACACACACACACACACACACACACACACACAGAGGAAGCAGCCCGTAACAGCTGTCTAACTTGCACGTACCTATTTACTGTTAGGTAACAGGGACATCAGGGTGAAACTCTGCCCATTTGTTTCCCCCTAGTCCGGGAATCGAACCCGGGCCACAGGATTACGAGGCCCGCTCGCTGTCCACTCAGCTACCAGACCTAGTGACCCCCCGTCGTGTGTGTGTGTGTGTGTGTGTGTGTGTGTGTGTGTGTGTGTGTGTGTGTGTGTGTGTGTGTGTGTGTGTGTGTGTGTGTGTGTGTGTGTGTATGCGCACG